CATGTTAACAATAATATAGAAGCGTTCCATGTAAAATCAAGTGTAGCGTAATTTGAAACCCATTACCATTTATCTTAAAAGACCAATATTTTTTATGGATGTTTCAAAGAATATACCCATTTATATCTTTATACCTTTTGTTGTGCAGTAAATCTTGGAAGGATAAGGTCAATTCCTACTATGGTAAGGAGCATAATCAAAGCTGAATATCAAGTTGTTTTTCTATTTAAAAGATTTAGTGTTTATTTTCAATTTGAACTTGTAACCAGTGCTATATAAAGTATAAACCCAGCCCTAATACGTTTTAAGGGACAACAAAGTAAACACATAAAGGGACAATTAAGCTGAGAAAGAGAGAATTTGAGATAACTTTTTGTAACTAGGATTGCAAATAAAATCAATACATAACAGTGAACATAATTTTTGCATTATAAGCAACCAAACCACTTTCAAAAAAATTATTTTGTTCTTTATGTTTTGTGTTTAATTGTTGTTCATATATAATCGTTTTGTCCCGACACTAATTCATTAGGATTACATAAGCATCCGACGTGATTCTAATGTTGTCGATCACGTATCTCTTGTTATTACAATTTCTTGCATCAATACCTTTAAATCGAAATTAACCAAAAATTGGGTTGCTAAGCAAATACAAAAGAGTAAAATGAGTAGTGAATCATAACCAAGGTTTGGGTTTAGCCATACGTCAACTAAAGCCTACCTTTGAAGCCTTGCCAAGAAACTTGGATAGATGATTAGGAGAAAAGTGCTTCCAGTTTTAGCTTTATGAGACAATGCTATAATACTTTATATAATTGTTTGATTGGTTTTAAATTAAAACTATGTACTTTAATTAAATAAAGTTATTAACTTTTTACTAAATCAATTAATTAAGCTTTCCATTTTTTCTCTTTTCTTCAAGTGGAGAAAGAAACCATATCTTCTAAGGTTGGTTACCGTCTTTAAAAGGAGAAGCGATGTTCTCCATTAAAATTACACTAAATTGAATCATATTTGCTTAAGTTTGGGAACTTTGAAACTGAAGCAACTTCATAATTGAAGAGAGGTTAGTTGAAGTTTTGGAGACCAATCTCTCTTGCCCCTTCAACAAGTCACCCATCTTACCCAATCTTGGACCGCCACTTCAGAACCCATATGCTAAAATAGACCGCGACCACTTCATTTTTTTTTTTTATTGTGGGTTTGTTGAAAAATCTAACCAATTTTCTTCAAATTTTGAATTAAACACAATCATTCCATAGAGTTCGCAAAAAGTTCCAGACGGTGACTCGTGTCGCTCGACTAATGGAACTCCTTAATTTATTTATAAATATTTCAGTAACCTAGCCGCCCTAGGCTTTCAAATTCTAGTGCTATTTTTGTACTGCGGAAGTACAAATTTGAAATAATATTTTAAACCTTTATTTCATTTAACAAAAAATACTAAAAAATATCACGAAAAATAAAATAAAAGATGTATCTAAAATACCCCAACTGTACTAAAGGGAAGATTTCAAATTTAAATTGAAAAAAATTAGTGCTGCGGCCACTTAGCTTGAGCCTGATTTAGCAACCGTGTATGATAATGAATCGGTTGGTTATTTTTGGGTGGTTGAGAAAATCAAGAATGTATTATCAGGATTCTCCACTGTCTTAATCGTGGAAGACAATTGCAATGAGGACGGTGGACCAAGAACACACTGCCTGTTGGGGTCCAAAATTTGGTGGGTCTCTTTTCAGATTTTTATGAACTTATATTTTACCATCTAAAGTTTGATTAAGTGAATAAGAAGATTTGTAATCCAAGTAATGTTTTCAACGCAGAGTGGGCACTCTGATAATTTAATCATAACTATATTAATCCAGATGTCGCTAATAGTTGTCTTAGTGCAAATTCAAAATATTATGATTGCTTTTATGGTTTTAAAGTTGACTCCATGGGATAATAATAAATAATATCTCGTAATAGAAATATAATAAGAAAAATATTAAGGGGTTGGCGTAACGGTTAAAAAAGTTTATTTTATTTCTTGAGTTTTTAGGTTCAAATTTTGATGCTACTTACTATAATAACATTACGATTTACCTGATCATTTGGGTTTGTAGTCTATAGGGTGTTTACTGGATTATAAAGATTAATTGAAGTGTATATAAATTGATTTGGATACTCTGATTAAAAAAATAATAATAATAAAATAATGAGAAAGCATAAGTGTTCTGTAGGGGGCATCAGTCGGTATTTGAAAAAAACAAAAGAGAGTTAATTAACCATTATAATAAGAAATTTATCTATTCAAATAATTAAAAAGTGGTGGTTTATACGAAATTTTTATCGACTGCACCAACCTATAACAACCATAATGATGAACCTCACGTAATATATAAAACTTTGTTTAAATAAGAACTAATTTAATAATATACTTAAATATAAATAAATCCCCTGATTAATATGGAAATCATATCAGGTGATTTAACAATGTGTTAAATTAACATGTAATTATAATGTTATATTACACATTAATTTTCAAAGAATACTATCGAGTTAATCTCAGACGTGGAGAGAGCAGTCCCATGATGAATAAGTGCGGGAAAACATAACACGTGGGTGGGCATAGTGTATATAAATGAAAGGGCAAAAACAGTCCGTACCTTCGGAGAAACTGATGTGAGTAGCGAGTGTTGAGTCAAAAGACACTCACATGCGTAGCACGAAACCAAAGAATAAAATAATACAAAATAAATAAATAAAATTAAACAAACAGAAGCCTCCACCTCACGTGCAAGGCCATGCCCCTTTCCTTCCGTATATTATTATTATATTCTATATCTACAGTCGACAGGCCCTGCATGATAGCCATGCCATGCGGCTGTGCCCGCAATACAACAAATACTTCACGTTTTACCAAATATATTTAAATTTCTTCGCAATTTAATTTAAGATTATGGAGCTACAGCCCATAATAAAATAACTCCTTTAATTTTATATGATAATTATTAACAAAATCCATTGAGAAACAGAGATGAAGACGAGGGGATCAGGTTCAAATTCCTAGAATTCTTTTGGTATTCTATTATATTGACAGTGGGGGTCATTATTTATAAATAATTAAAACAAAACAACACACTGTGTTGTTGCTGCTTTGACTTTAGTTAGTTTATACAAAATTCTCCGATTCTCTATAAAATTTTGGGTGGGCTGTCAAAATTCTAAAATGACAGCATTCACATATGAGTTTGGTAATTTAACGATGAACTGCCACGTGGTGTATGATTTGACACGAACAAATCGTTCTCTGCGCAGTTAAGTGAGGATCCCAACTCCGAACTATACCACTGTCTTCATCTCCATAGAAGAGGAACAGTAAAAGAAATCTGTTACATCCAGCTGTTCCCTCATATCAGTATCCGGATGGGCCACAATTCCAAGTGGGTCATGGATCCGATACGCCCCAAGATTTTCTTTGCAGCAATCAAGTATAAATTCTTTTACCAGTTTTTACTATCATAGTGTTTATGAATTCTGTTTAAAACTTTTACTCAATGACTAATTTTTTGACTATCATATTCCAAAATTTAATTTAATTTGGTCAAATATTTAAACTGACGTGATCGATATATCAAAATTGTATATGTCATGATCTGTGTTAGGATGAGAGTGGTTAAATATTGGTAGATGAAAAGAAAATGTAAGTTGGTTAAAATTGAAATCACCAACCAAAATCTCATCACTATCTTTGGTGATATTTCTTCTCTCTCACCATCTTCTTTTAATGTTTTACTATTTGTATGTAGCTTAACTAATCTTCAAAGTCTTAGAATAATAGACTGAGTAAAAGTCTACTTTTATTAATGTCTGAAATACTCGAATTCAAAAGTTTATATAACCTCCTTTTAATATTTTAGCATTTTTGATTTATCTGTTTCTCTCCCTTTCTGCCTGCTCCATCCAATACTTCTCTCTTTTCCTTTAATAACTTAAGTGAAAGCATGAAATTGAACCTTTTATATCATCAATAAAACTATGCTTACTCACAATCTTACTAACCATCTTACAATCCTGGAAAATATAATAATATAGTATGGGTATTATACGTATGATACTTGTACTATACTATTATATTTTCCAGGATTGTAAGATGGTTAATAAGATTGTGAATAAGCATAGCATTACACTTATATTCAGGCTAAAAGTTAAGTATGGATTATGGATAAATATGATTTGATAAATTACTTGGCCAGTAGCCACTACCGGATCATAATGTGATAGGCCCTAGCTAGCCACATGATAAAAGGCTATATAGAATACGGAATGGTCGACAAAATCAGAAACTGGCAGACGAAACAGAATTATAGATTATGATTTTATGCATTGGACTGACCAACCCAAGACCAAGACCCAGAAAGACTCCAGAGCTTGAGTTGAAAATCAAAGTGTAAGTAAATACCAGTAAAAACCACATTGACTGAGGAGGTTGCTTCTCCAGCACTCGTATTCACCACAGAGTATTATAGAGTACCCCTTTTTTTTTTTATCTTTTCATCAGTTTGAAAAAGGCAAAAGAGTTACTGAACAGATCTTATCTTTGACCTTGTCAACAAACCGGATAATGAACCACCCAGCAACATCAAAAGACGATTTTCAGTGTGATTCGTGAATCGTCTTCCATAAGCTTTAACCATAACAACTGGTCTTCTTATACAGTAATTTTATTATTCAGTTTAATTGGTTGTTTGATGATGATGTTGTCCAAAATCATATAGCCATCAATTGACGGCCCTGATTTATATGCAAAATCCTTCCCCAGCTGAGCCTTATTGCGGCTCGTCAACATATCCTTTCATTTCAAATCTGGTCCCACGTCTTTAAATAACACACTATTGACTGCAGCAAGCAACAATTAATAATTAATTCAATCCAACAGCTTATTGTTTTTAACTGAGGCTAATACTAACCCCATAAATACAAGCCTTCCCTCTCCCTTTCCTGGCGCTCTCTTCTTTCAAGTTTCTCTTCTCTCTCGAGCTTCGTGTCTCCAGACACAAACTCAAAACTTAAAATCAAAATCAAATCCAGCTCAACTTAGAATACTCACCTGAAGTAGCACCCCTTCCGTACACCACCAGCACTGAAGCCTCGCGGCACTTTTCACGGACGACACAATGCCGGTGTTTTCTGTCTCCGTTAAGCAGGTGGTGCCGGTGGACTACGAGGCCGAGGTTTCTCAGAGACTTCTGGAAGCCACGCTTTCCGGCGATCTGAAATCGGCAACGGAGTGCATCGCCGATCCTTTCGTCGATGTCAACTTTGTCGGCGCCGTTTGCTTGAAGACGAGGAAGACGGAGTTGGTGCTTCGCGAGGAATCGGCGAGCGAAGTTTGCGTTGAGTTCGAGGAGTTTAAAACTGACGTTACGGCTCTGTTCTTAGCTGCTCATAGTGGAAATGTCACTCTTGTGAAGAAACTACTGGTATATGATCAGATCATGGGCTAACGAATTCAAATTTATTCTACTGTTTTATTTGCATTGTCGTTTCGGACTTTTTCCACCGTTTTTGTGATATATTTTTTATCAAAAAAAATTTTATGAACGTTTTGAAAGTGAGTCTAAGTTTTGCTTATCAAAACATGTAGATCACTGCCAAAGCAAACTGAGATTTGAACAGTCGTTTCAAGTGAATTTTAAATATTTTCGTGCTTCTATGATTATTTGGATTTTGTTAAGTGTCCTCTGTTCATATTTCATTGAATTTTTATTTTTATTTGTACATTTTAGTACTTTATCAAATTTGCATTCGAACACTGTTGATCGGATCACTGGTGTAGAGGACTTAAAGCCGAGACTCCAAGCTCTAGTTATCCACATTGTTGATTTAAGTGAAATCAAAACTTTTAAACTGCATATTTTTCTTCTCTTATGAAATTTATTACGAGACAATAGATTAGTTTTTTTTTTCCTCCTCTAGTTTTATTGTTGAGATTTGCTGATCTCATGATTCTTTTGCACTTTTCGATCTTTGGCTTTCTAGATTGAAGAAGCTAAGGTTTCATGTTATGTTCCGTTCTGCGGGAATTAACTTAGAAAATAAAGCTCATTACCCCTTTTGTATCTTCAAAGATTCACTGTCTTCTTAACTTTAATGCTTTTTCCTGTTCCGGTCCCATATCTGATTTGCATTCATTGAACAATTTTATTTTAGTATTATTTTAGTTCCGTTTTGAAAGACTAGATACATAGTAGATAGGAATCCCTTCCATAATCTTTGAGAGTAATATCTGTAATTAGGCGATGGAATTAAAGCATTAGATATTTTGTATATTTAATGGAGAATATTTTATGCAAAAGGTCCATGCTGAGTTGTCTGATAATTAGTCAAACCCTGAAGTACATAACAGTACACATACATGAATGATGATGCATCGCCCTCATCGTTCTAATTAATGAACCTTCACTTACTTTTTCATGAAAGTTCCATGCTTCTTTGTCCATTACACCAATTTTTGTCCGTGTGTGGCCATGAATATCAGTTCTCAGTGAAGAAACCAAGATGCTTACTACAGTTGTAATTTTGTTTTGTATAGTTAACCTTATTAAGATTTTGAGCAAATACAAAAGAGAATTTTTTTTTTTTTTTTTTTTTTTTTAAAGAAAAGCATAAATGATATCTTGTGGAGTCTTTTCACCATCTTTGCAATGTACTGAAGATTGGAACTGAAATGACAGAGCGTTGGAGCTGATGTGAACCAGAAACTCTTCAGGGGCTTTGCGACAACGGTAGCAGTGAGGGAGGGCCATCTTAAGATTCTGGAGATCTTGCTTAAAGCCGGGGCTTCTCAGCCAGCTTGTGAAGAGGCTTTGATAGAAGCAAGCTGTCATGGTCGAGCAAAGCTTGCAGAGCTGCTCATGGGTTCTGATTTGATTCGGCCCCATGTTGCTGTGCATGCTCTCGTCATGGCATGCTGCAGGGGATTTGTGGATGTGGTGGACACTATCATGAAGGTAAATCGTCATACTTGATAATAATGTGGGTTGTCTAGTAGCAATTTTCAGAAGAGTTAGACCCTAGCAGTAAAACAAAAATTAGAGCAATCATTGTTCTGCTGTTATGTATTTCTTATTATGTTTTCTAGGGAATTTAGTAATCTCCTAAATCAGTTATTATATGACTACATGTTTGTTAATGACATAGTTGTTCCTAATGGCAGTGTCGAGTTGATGTGAGTGCAACTGATCGATTTCTACTACAGTCATTCAAGCCTTCTCTTCACACTAATGTAGATTGTACTCCACTTGTTGCTGCTGTTGTTAGTAGGCAGGTCTCTGTTGTCCGTTTATTGCTACAGGTGAGCTTCCCCCCTCCATTTTCAGTATCGAATTCTAAATAAAATGGATCACTATAAAGTCCAAGTTTGTAGGAGCCCATTTCTGGGAACTCTATTTGTCATTCCTTTAATGGCCAATGGATGGGTCTCCTGTATGAAATGTGATTATGTAACAACTGTACAGCTGGATCTGTACCTTCGGATGCTGATTTGTTCTGAACAATAGTTCTCATGCTCCTTGCATACATGATTTATTGATCTGTTCGACTAACTAAATATTGGATATAAAAACTTTTTATCGTATATGCTGATAATCTTTTTTTTTTTTTTTTTTTTTTTAATTTATATATCCTTTCTATTAATTTTGTTTCCCTCATACGACTGATAACCCTCTTTTGATTCCAAAATGAAGCAGGCTGGTGCAGACATAGATGTTAGAGTAAGACTTGGAGCATGGTCATGGGACACTACTATAGGTGAAGAATTTCGAGTTGGTGCTGGACTAGCTGAACCCTATGCGATCACCTGGTGTGCAGTGGAGTATTTTGAAGTTAGTGGTTCTATCTTACGCATGCTCCTGCAATACGTTTCCCCTGACAGTCCTCACTATGGAAGAACCCTCCTTCACCATGCAATCCTTTGTGGCAATTCAGGAGCAGTCAATGTCCTTCTGGGCTGTGGTGCCAATGTAGAATGCCCTATAATAACAACCCAGAAAACTGAGTTCCGTCCTATACACATTGCTGCACGTCTTGGCTTGTCCACCATTCTTCAATCCCTGATTGATTTTGGTTGTGATGTGAACTCCAAGACAGAATCTGGTGACACAGCTCTGATGATATGTGTGAAATATAAGCAAGAAGATTGTCTCAAGGTTTTGGCCCAGGCTGGTGCTGATTTTGGGTTAGTCAATGTTGCTGGTGAGTCCACAAGTTCAATTGCTGGTTCAAACTGGTGGTCCCTTGGTTTTCAACAAGCAGTAGTAGATGTAATTAAAGCTGGAAAAATTCCAAAATCAAGCAATATATCTGTCTTTTCTCCCCTGATGTTTGTAGCCCAGTCTGGTGATATTGAGGCCTTGAAAGCTCTAATTCGATGGGGAGAGGTTAATCTTGATTATCAGGATGATAATGGCTTCTCTGCTGTCATGGTCGCTGCTTTGAAGGGTCATGTTGAAGTATTTCGTCTATTGGTATTTGCTGGGGCTGATGTTAAGCTGCTCAACAAATCTGGCAAAACTGCAATTATGCTTTCTGAGTTGAACCAGAACCGTGACCTCTTTGAGAAGGTGATGCTTGAATTTGCACTTGAAAAGGGAAACCGTTTTGCTGGAGGGTTCTATGCTTTACATTGTGCAGCACGTCGTGGGGACTTGGATGCAGTCAAGTTGTTAACAAGTAGGGGTTATGATGTTAATGTCCCTGATGGCAGTGGTTATACTCCACTCATGTTAGCAGCAAGAGAAGGCCATGGATCCATGTGTGAACTGTTGATCAGAAGAGGAGCCATTTGCGATATCAAGAATGCTAAAGGTGAAACAGCACTCTCGCTTGCAAGAAAGATTTCCGAATCGAAAAATGATGCAGAACGTGTGATTCTAGATGAGCTGGCTCGCAAGCTGGTGTTAAGTGGTGCCCAAGTACAAAAACACACCAAGGGAGGCAAAAGCACTCCACATGGTAAAGATCTAAGAATGTTGGGGTCAGAAGGTGTGCTGCGGTGGGGAAATTCAAGGCGTAAAAATGTAATATGCCGAATGGCAGAATTGGGGCCAAGCCCCGCATTTAGGAGGAATAGGCAGCGGAAAGGTGATGCTGATGAACCTGGAGTGTTTCGGGTAGTGACTACCAAGAACAAGGAGGTGCATTTTGTGTGCGAGGGCGGGTTGGAAGTGGCTGAGCTGTGGGTGAGGGGAATAATGCTTGTGACAAGGGGTGCCATTTGTGGTAAATAGATGTGACATGAGTAGTAGCATATCTGCGTTAACGATGTATAGGAATAGGAGTACTTCGCCTTGAAGTACTTGGAATGGCTGGTTTTTCATATAAAAGTTTTGATCCCTGTAGTTGTAAATGTCTCTCTTTCTGTTTCTCTTGTTTAAAAAAGGTAGGTTGGACATCGTTTGATCACCTTAGTAGGGCTGTAAAACAATGCTGCAACATTTCTACGATAGCCGCGATTATCAAGATCTTTATTTTAAGAAATAAACTAAAAACTGATTGAGCTCCTCATAATCCGACGATAAACAATTTCCAGATGGATATAAGCCCCAAAATAGTTATTTTGAATGTTAGAAGGCTAAACCGTTTTCTTTATTAGCAACCTCAAATCTTCCATGAGGTCTCGATCCACCAATCAGTTTTATATGACTACATGTTTGTTCGTGAATCGTCTTCCATAAGCTTTAACCATAACAACTGGTCTTCTTATACAGTAATTTTATTATTCAGTTTAATTGGTTGTTTGATGATGATGTTGTCCAAAATCATATAGCCATCAATTGACGGCCCTGATTTATATGCAAAATCCTTCCCCAGCTGAGCCTTATTGCGGCTCGTCAACATATCCTTTCATTTTAAATCTGGTCCCACGTCTTTAAATAACACACTATTGACTGCAGCAAGCAACAATTAATAATTAATTCAATCCAACAGCTTATTGTTTTTAACTGAGGCTAATACTAACCCCATAAATACAAGCCTTCCCTCTCCCTTTCCTGGCGCTCTCTTCTTTCAAGTTTCTCTTCTCTCTCGAGCTTCGTGTCTCCAGACACAAACTCAAAACTTAAAATCAAAATCAAATCCAGCTCAACTTAGAATACTCACCTGAAGTAGCACCCCTTCCGTACACCACCAGCACTGAAGCCTCGCGGCACTTTTCACGGACGACACAATGCCGGTGTTTTCTGTCTCCGTTAAGCAGGTGGTGCCGGTGGACTACGAGGCCGAGGTTTCTCAGAGACTTCTGGAAGCCACGCTTTCCGGCGATCTGAAATCGGCAACGGAGTGCATCGCCGATCCTTTCGTCGATGTCAACTTTGTCGGCGCCGTTTGCTTGAAGACGAGGAAGACGGAGTTGGTGCTTCGCGAGGAATCGGCGAGCGAAGTTTGCGTTGAGTTCGAGGAGTTTAAAACTGACGTTACGGCTCTGTTCTTAGCTGCTCATAGTGGAAATGTCACTCTTGTGAAGAAACTACTGGTATATGATCAGATCATGGGCTAACGAATTCAAATTTATTCTACTGTTTTATTTGCATTGTCGTTTCGGACTTTTTCCACCGTTTTTGTGATATATTTTTTATCAAAAAAAATTTTATGAACGTTTTGAAAGTGAGTCTAAGTTTTGCTTATCAAAACATGTAGATCACTGCCAAAGCAAACTGAGATTTGAACAGTCGTTTCAAGTGAATTTTAAATATTTTCGTGCTTCTATGATTATTTGGATTTTGTTAAGTGTCCTCTGTTCATATTTCATTGAATTTTTATTTTTATTTGTACATTTTAGTACTTTATCAAATTTGCATTCGAACACTGTTGATCGGATCACTGGTGTAGAGGACTTAAAGCCGAGACTCCAAGCTCTAGTTATCCACATTGTTGATTTAAGTGAAATCAAAACTTTTAAACTGCATATTTTTCTTCTCTTATGAAATTTATTACGAGACAATAGATTAGTTTTTTTTTTCCTCCTCTAGTTTTATTGTTGAGATTTGCTGATCTCATGATTCTTTTGCACTTTTCGATCTTTGGCTTTCTAGATTGAAGAAGCTAAGGTTTCATGTTATGTTCCGTTCTGCGGGAATTAACTTAGAAAATAAAGCTCATTACCCCTTTTGTATCTTCAAAGATTCACTGTCTTCTTAACTTTAATGCTTTTTCCTGTTCCGGTCCCATATCTGATTTGCATTCATTGAACAATTTTATTTTAGTATTATTTTAGTTCCGTTTTGAAAGACTAGATACATAGTAGATAGGAATCCCTTCCATAATCTTTGAGAGTAATATCTGTAATTAGGCGATGGAATTAAAGCATTAGATATTTTGTATATTTAATGGAGAATATTTTATGCAAAAGGCCCATGCTGAGTTGTCTGATAATTAGTCAAACCCTGAAGTACATAACAGTACACATACATGAATGATGATGCATCGCCCTCATCGTTCTAATTAATGAACCTTCACTTACTTTTTCATGAAAGTTCCATGCTTCTTTGTCCATTACACCAATTTTTGTCCGTGTGTGGCCATGAATATCAGTTCTCAGTGAAGAAACCAAGATGCTTACTACAGTTGTAATTTTGTTTTGTATAGTTAACCTTATTAAGATTTTGAGCAAATACAAAAGAGAATTTTTTTTTTTTTTTTTTTTTTTTTAAAGAAAAGCATAAATGATATCTTGTGGAGTCTTTTCACCATCTTTGCAATGTACTGAAGATTGGAACTGAAATGACAGAGCGTTGGAGCTGATGTGAACCAGAAACTCTTCAGGGGCTTTGCGACAACGGTAGCAGTGAGGGAGGGCCATCTTAAGATTCTGGAGATCTTGCTTAAAGCCGGGGCTTCTCAGCCAGCTTGTGAAGAGGCTTTGATAGAAGCAAGCTGTCATGGTCGAGCAAAGCTTGCAGAGCTGCTCATGGGTTCTGATTTGATTCGGCCCCATGTTGCTGTGCATGCTCTCGTCATGGCATGCTGCAGGGGATTTGTGGATGTGGTGGACACTATCATGAAGGTAAATCGTCATACTTGATAATAATGTGGGTTGTCTAGTAGCAATTTTCAGAAGAGTTAGACCCTAGCAGTAAAACAAAAATTAGAGCAATCATTGTTCTGCTGTTATGTATTTCTTATTATGTTTTCTAGGGAATTTAGTAATCTCCTAAATCAGTTATTATATGACTACATGTTTGTTAATGACATAGTTGTTCCTAATGGCAGTGTCGAGTTGATGTGAGTGCAACTGATCGATTTCTACTACAGTCATTCAAGCCTTCTCTTCACACTAATGTAGATTGTACTCCACTTGTTGCTGCTGTTGTTAGTAGGCAGGTCTCTGTTGTCCGTTTATTGCTACAGGTGAGCTTCCCCCCTCCATTTTCAGTATCGAATTCTAAATAAAATGGATCACTATAAAGTCCAAGTTTGTAGGAGCCCATTTCTGGGAACTCTATTTGTCATTCCTTTAATGGCCAATGGATGGGTCTCCTGTATGAAATGTGATTATGTAACAACTGTACAGCTGGATCTGTACCTTCGGATGCTGATTTGTTCTGAACAATAGTTCTCATGCTCCTTGCATACATGATTGGTTGATCTGTTCGACTAACTAAATATTGGATATAAAAACTTTTTATCGTATATGCTGATAATCTTTTTTTTTTTTTTTTTTTTTTTAATTTATATATCCTTTCTATTAATTTTGTTTTCCTCATATGACTGATAAACCTCTTTTGATTCCAAAATGAAGCAGGCTGGTGCAGACACAGATATTAGAGTAAGACTTGGAGCATGGTCATGGGACACTACTATAGGTGAAGAATTTCGAGTTGGTGCTGGACTAGCTGAACCCTATGCGATCACCTGGTGTGCAGTGGAGTATTTTGAAGTTAGTGGTTCTATCTTACGCATGCTCCTGCAATACGTTTCCCCTGACAGTCCTCACTATGGAAGAACCCTCCTTCACCATGCAATCCTTTGTGGCAATTCAGGAGCAGTCAATGTCCTTCTGGGCTGTGGTGCCAATGTAGAATGCCCTATAATAACAACCCAGAAAACTGAGTTCCGTCCTATACACATTGCTGCACGTCTTGGCTTGTCCACCATTCTTCAATCCCTGATTGATTTTGGTTGTGATGTGAACTCCAAGACAGAATCTGGTGACACAGCTCTGATGATATGTGTGAAATATAAGCAAGAAGATTGTCTCAAGGTTTTGGCCCAGGCTGGTGCTGATTTTGGGTTAGTCAATGTTGCTGGTGAGTCCACAAGTTCAATTGCTGGTTCAAACTGGTGGTCCCTTGGTTTTCAACAAGCAGTAGTAGATGTAATTAAAGCTGGAAAAATTCCAAAATCAAGCAATATATCTGTCTTTTCTCCCCTGATGTTTGTAGCCCAGTCTGGTGATATTGAGGCCTTGAAAGCTCTAATTCGATGGGGAGAGGTTAATCTTGATTATCAGGATGATAATGGCTTCTCTGCTGTCATGGTCGCTGCTTTGAAGGGTCATGTTGAAGTATTTCGTCTATTGGTATTTGCTGGGGCTGATGTTAAGCTGCTCAACAAATCTGGCAAAACTGCAATTATGCTTTCTGAGTTGAACCAGAACCGTGACCTCTTTGAGAAGGTGATGCTTGAATTTGCACTTGAAAAGGGAAACCGTTTTGCTGGAGGGTTCTATGCTTTACATTGTGCAGCACGTCGTGGGGACTTGGATGCAGTCAAGTTGTTAACAAGTAGGGGTTATGATGTTAATGTCCCTGATGGCAGTGGTTATACTCCACTCATGTTAGCAGCAAGAGAAGGCCATGGATCCATGTGTGAACTGTTGATCAGAAGAGGAGCCATTTGCGATATCAAGAATGCTAAAGGTGAAACAGCACTCTCGCTTGCAAGAAAGATTTCCGAATCGAAAAATGATGCAGAACGTGTGATTCTAGATGAGCTGGCTCGCAAGCTGGTGTTAAGTGGTGCCCAAGTACAAAAACACACCAAGGGAGGCAAAAGCACTCCACATGGTAAAGATCTAAGAATGTTGGGGTCAGAAGGTGTGCTGCGGTGGGGAAATTCAAGGCGTAAAAATGTAATATGCCGAATGGCAGAATTGGGGCCAAGCCCCGCATTTAGGAGGAATAGGCAGCGGAAAGGTGATGCTGATGAACCTGGAGTGTTTCGGGTAGTGACTACCAAGAACAAGGAGGTGCATTTTGTGTGCGAGGGCGGGTTGGAAGTGGCTGAGCTGTGGGTGAGGGGAATAATGCTTGTGACAAGGGGTGCCATTTGTGGTAAATAGATGTGACATGAGTAGTAGCATATCTGCGTTAACGATGTATAGGAATAGGAGTACTTCGCCTTGAAGTACTTG